GACTCTATATATGCTACACCATGGTAGAGCTGATCACTGCTCGTCCTCAGAGTTGAACCCAAATTCACGCTGTTAAAAGGAAACAAGCAGAGTCGTGACCGCCAGACCGTGAACACCACCTACTTCCGCGCTCCTCAGTCTGACTCTTTTTGTTTAATCCAATTTACTCGCAAATATACAATTAAAGGTACAAATGGGTAGTGGTCCTTGTATAGGTACAAATACAAGTACCACTAGAGATACATGTACATGAAATAGTACTGGTGTAAATACAAGTAAAATTACGTGTACAGGCTGATCAGCAAGTAAAAAAAAAAACGCTTTAATAGGTAGTAGGCAGCTACCAAACAGGGAGGTACTACCGCCTGGGAAGATATTGGAAACATAATGTGTTGTCGAATGGCAGGCCCTGCTGCCATATGGCATCATGAAAATTGTGACCAAGTCCCAGGTTGCTGATCTGACTTTCTGCCTCATTTACACACAATTGCAGGGTCTCAATTGTTTCTCTTACTTTGCCAACACAACATTCATATATTGTTTCTCACTATTGATTTTTTTTCATTTTTGCATTTCTTTATGGTTCCTTATCATTATTAGTGTTATTATTATTTTTGTTATCATTATTATATTATTTTTAATTTTGTATTTTGCATATAAATTTTATTTACTATGAATTATTATTTAATTTTTAATTTGGTATTTTATTATAAATTTTATTTAATATGAATTATTATTATTATTATTATTATTATTATTATTATTATTATTATTATTATTATTAATATTATTATTATTATTATTATTATTACATTTTCGCCCCCAGGCCCTGATGTGGGTCAGTGACCTGTGCCGGGTGGGCTAATCCCCATAAAAAAAAAAAAATAAATAAATTACTAGTACACATGAATATAATATACAATGCAACCTTTATTACAAGTAATGGCGCAAATAAAAGTACAGATGCTTATGTACCGTACAGGTGCAGCTACAAGCACAGGTGTAAATACAGGTACAAAAACGTGCACATCAAACCTGAATGACGAGATACACACTGACTCATCATACTGAGATACCTACAGTTAAACAGCCTATGACTTTTAGAGAATGTAACCTGACCCTTGCCTACGGGATTCCCCGGTCAGACTTGCTCAAGACAAGTTATGTTGCGGGTGAGTGTGTGTCTGTCTGTCTTTCTATCACAGCTAACCTTTCTAAGACATTTTACTTGACCCAATCACTTGATGAGAGAGAGGGGGAGACTTGATACAACACTTAACAAAACCAACAGAAGCTCTTAAACCCGTGACAACAGTGCGACAAAGCCAATTTCACTCACACGCTATATAGTTCCTTTACAACTCCTGTTTCGAAACTGTACCAGACTTAAATGGGATAACCATAGCGTCATCTATGGATACACGAGAGGTTCAGAGATTCGTTCCAGTAGTTCGGAGTCTCTGGTGTGTAAGATGATCTGTGACTGAGGGAGCGGTAATACAAATAGACAGAAGCAGCTGAAGTATGTACCGTACCCACAAGTTAATGTCTCACTGATGGAAGTTCTATTGAAAATGTCAAATACATTGTGGCAGACTGTCAGTGTGGTAATCCTGACGATGCATATAATAAGAGCCGTTTTACAGAGTCATACATTCGAACAAACGAACAGTAATGCACATAAATAAGCATAGATATCTAATCATACAGATGAACAAAGACAAAATCATACAGTCACGAGAAGGAAAAGACAGACACTCGTACATATGAAGTGAAAGACTGATAAACATAAATAAATAAACAAAAGATCAAATAATTAATGCAGCTCTTGAGAACATTGTCAGACTGTGGGAACGTTCACTAGGTGTATTGTTTTAGTTCTGGTCATAAGTCTTATGTGTGTTCTTACCACCGTCGTGTGTTTATGTGTCAACGGCGTGAGAGTACGATTACCAGAGACCACTGTGTGTGTGTGTGTTTAGACTGAACGATGAAGACTGTTGAACTTATTCCTTTCTTTGAGTCATGGTCAAATATTTAGTTTACTCCCACAAAACAGAACTTGGTGTTGTGCTTCAGCTGCTTAAACAAAAATAAAAATAAATAAATAAATACTATGCAAAAACACCCAATAAAAAGGCTTTCTATCCTGATCAATGAGGGAGTGTGAGGGTAAAACACTCAACTCGCCTCTTTCAGGGTAAATAATTTGCACAGTCAACTGGCAAATCAGCGGTGACCACGTTAGTCCAATATTTGATCAATGCATTGTCAACACCGCACAACACGCACCATAACCTTTTAATACCTTCACTAAACTCTTAATTATGAGTAAATCTTTTTTAATTTTAATTCTTACATCGTTTTGATATTTATTTTCCTTTTATTTATATCTGTAACTAAAATTTCCATAATAATCAGATAATTGATATCTTTTGTGCTGTCTTTAAGAGTTGCAGCTAAAGAGTGTAGGAAAATTTTCAATGCTGTATTATGTCTGTTCACTGGAGCCTTTGTATGTGTGTGTGTGAGTGTAAAGAAGGCATAGAGAGTGTGTGTGTGTAAAGATAAAACAAAGTCCCATGTCGATATTAAATCCCTTCACTGACCCTTACCCATTCCTTGACGGTGCCTATTAATTACCAGTAAGACACGTAGCTACAACTGATCACTCCTCTAGCTGTGTTCCTCAAGTGTTAACAATGCAGGACCGTCACTATACAAGGTTACACCCTATGCCTACTGTTTTTTGTCTATCAGTCTGTCTATCTACCAATTTACCACTCTACTTCAATCTTAGTAAACATATTTATATTTATTCCTCATTATGCATTTAACGGTGAAAATATCTAATGGCGAAGCAATCTACGTGTTTTACTATCAATCTGTTAATTATCTATATCTGTCTGTCTGTCTGCCAAGACCAAAGGATACAGTTCCCCATCTAATTTATTTGTTTTATTTCACATTAATATAACTAGTGTTGTGGGGGTATGTGTGTGTGTGTATATATATGTGTGTGTGTATGTATATATGTGTGTGTGCGTGTGTGGGTGGCCTAGATAATCAGTGTTGTACGAATATAGCAACAAAGACCAGTGCTGTAACCCTCCCCAGCTACAGACAATGGTAATGGGATCACTGGAGGCTGCTGCTTCACCCCCCACCCACCTTGGTTCGGGGCTTGCTAATTTTCCTTTCTAGTACGGTTCTCTCTCTCGCGCTTCACCCTCCCTCTCTCTTCTCCCCTCCCCCTTTCACTTTCCACTCCTCACTTTCTCTCTCTCTCACTCTGCACGCCTCTCCCCTTCTTTCACTTTCTCCACCCCTTCTCTCTTTCACTCATCACTCCCCTCTCCCGTTCCCCACCCCTTCTCTTATTCTTATCATATCTCTCAATAACACGTCAGGGGCAAAGAGGTGCAAGCCCCGTCAACACTACGTCATCACACTACTCACAGTAATGTAAACAAACTCAGTGACAATTCAAATGGCTTGATGGTGTGTGTGTGTGTCCGCCTTGTCTTCATCCTTTACAACTGTTACTGCGGTCGTGTGTTGTAAATTGACTGATTGGCTGCGGGGTGTAGCCAATCGCCTCTCCCGCCACTTTCGTTCCCGCGCTTTTGGTAGCTAAACTAATATAATAAATCCAATGATACTCTTAAATCACCTTTCAAGTTACATTCATCAATTATCTATTTTAATTTCTGTAAAAATAAAACAATAAAACAAGCAGTAACGTAAACCAACACCCAGTTAACCACCGCTTGACCCTAACGTGTGACTAGACTGATCTCTGTAACGCTCAACACTCTAAGACAAAACCCCGCTGACTAGTCACTGGAACACTGATCACTGTGGTAAAGGCTAAGTGTTTTAAAAGCTATTATATCGATTATACATACAACAATGACCACTCAAGGAAAATTAAGTAACATTTATTTGTTTTCAACATTCAATAAACACACGGAAAAACGATAATGATTGATGCATGACGTTGGCTTTTAATGATACACAGTAAATGTTTTTTTATAATGTTGAATGTTAGTCAACTAAACATTTTCTCTCTGGGTACACATAAACAATGGCGAGGATCAGTAACGACGCTCCACCGCTCCAACACCACGATCTCTACAATACCAAGTTCACATTGTCATCACTAGTTCAGCAACCATAGTGTGAGTGTGAAACAATTATATAAGCCTCTTTAATGCTGATAAACATGATAAAAATGCAGATAATAATTTTTTTGTTTGCTGGTTTAGAAGTTGTATGTGAAGTTCTTGATTAAATGATCTGTTACTAAAATTTTTTGCCAAGCTCATGTCATTCACTAACACCGTCTGAACAACTCTTGGTCACCCATCTGCTGTAACATTAAACGGATAGAAAAAAAACAGCGACTGACACCGGAAGTTAAAACATTAATGACAGACAATCACTCTTCTGTTTACTAATGTTGGTAATTAATTCAAAGGAGTATCATAAGTGTAGTAGTTTTTTATAATAAATACATACAGTACTCTAGGACAAGTACTTCCTGAAGTGGCAGTTTGTCCTGAGAAGCCTCAGTTCACGCGCCTCATATACTGAACAGTTCACAAACACCTACAGTATCATACAAGTGACAGCTGATACCATTGTTAAATTAATTTCTATGTTTTGCAGCTTTTTTAAATATACGCATCCGCAAACGGGCCTCGATTCAGTAAAGTATGACACACACATCAGCTTCTAACTCCGACGTCTACTTTCCTCTTGAGTGGTCTTAATTCTCATCAGGTGTCATAAAAATAATGATATATTATCTTTTAAAATATCTGATTACACTCACATGATTAACAATGGCAATAAAAAAACCATATATTCATGTAACTTGGTGTAGCAGGTTAACACAGTGATGAGAGAGCACCACAATCCTCCTGGAAAGAAGTGTTGACAACATGCACTACCCACCGTGCCTTTACAACCTGTCAGGACTCAGCCTCTGTACTCACAGTGGCGACCATGGCTCAGCGCGAGCAGTTGTCCACTGGTGAGCCGAGGGAGGCTGACACTACACTGGGAACTCGAGCCACCGCTCCACCACTTCTGAGAGAAAGGCCGTAAGGACGTTTCGCGGTCACACTCGACCATTTGAACAGGTTGGTGTACGTCACACACCTCCTACCCGATGATTGGCTCCAGTCCTCCTACAACACCAGTCACTATTACTCGTAATTTTCTTTAATCGTCTGGACTTACGATTTAATTTATGTTTGGTAACTGCCACTTCAAGGTCAATATGTCTGAAGACAATGGCATGTGAGACCTAGGGAGTAGATGAACGACTTACTGATATATTTGGGTTGGCTAATTAATGACTCAAGAAAAATAACTTTATTTACATTTTTCTTTTTGTGAGAAAGTAAATTCGGTTGCAGACTCCCTCACTGCCTCAGGTGAACGTTACTAAATAACTGAAAGTTAAACAACATCAATTTTACAGAGGTTTCTTTCTAAAGGAACTTCGGAAATACCAAGATGTGGTGCGTAGACGTATACAAGGAGCAGCAGGAAATGTCTTGGGTACATAGCGGGAAATCTCTTACTGTTAATAACTCTTATCGATGAACTCTCAAGTACGTCAAACAGATGAGGGTTATTAATACCTCAAATAACTAAACGTCGCCCTTGATGAGCCAGTTAGTTGTTTTATGTAGTATACAGTTTCTTCCTGTTGATCGTTAGTTGACATTTTTCGTTCTCTACCAAGAGATAAACTACCTGGTGTCTAGAGAATAAAAACAGATAAGCTGTTTGTGTGTGAGGTGTGTGACGTCACTATTAGCGCACCCACCGCAATATACTGCAGGTGGGTGTGGCAACGTCCGCTGGCAATGAAGGAAAATTCAAGACATAAATTTCCCACTTCTGAAACCTTTAAGTTTAGATTTGTTTCACGAGTTTATGTTTTCGTTCACACACAGGAAAAACATATCGTATCCGGTATGTGTGGGTTATCCTTGTTGAAATGAGTGCAGGTGAGATAATTACAAGACAACGGCAGAGTACATCTATACATCCTGTGACATCTGTCTTGTGTGTGTGTGTGTGTGAGTGTGTGTGTTATTTCACTATCCACACAACTCACCGTAGAGTATCACTCACCCAGATAAATGTCAGGACAGTGGGCGAGTCTCAGATCACATCAAGGATACAGTGCAGTAGCCATGGCCAGGCATGAAATTGACTGTGAGCACGATATGTGTCATTTCAATGCCAATATTAAATTTCACACAATTTAATCTCTCCAGCAAAGGAAAGTTTTTACTAAAGGCCAAACATAAACCTAATAGTGTTCTTGAGGCGTACAATACACATAGACACAGAGGACACACAGCTTCACATGTCTTGAGAATGTCAGCCATGTCATATTATATTTGTGTCTGGTAACGTGGCTGCATCGCAGTAAGTCTAGCATTCAATAAGGATATACGATGGAGGAAGTTGAAAGTTCTGACTCCAACACAAGCGAAAAAATACCCACGTAGTAAGACCTTTACCATACAGTAATCGTTTTCTTGTTCTGCAATTGAAACTGTACCACAAACAGTCTATTCCCGTGCGTCTGGCTTCACAGACAATCGATTAGTACAGTATTAACAGTAGCTTAAATCTAAAGAAAGCATAACTATTCATTTCATTTCTAGCTGAGTCTAGTTCGAGCTTTATAAGACGTAAAATGGGACGTCTGGAATAAAACTTGGCTGGATCGAAATCAGCGGAATAACTGGCAACACGTCCCATGGTCCCTGCTCCCCTGAAGATTGTACCGGAACTCTTTCTTAAAACCGGTGAAGGTTTTTTATTGACTTTTACCCACGAGTTATGTGTGCGGCAACCAAAAGGATACAGAGCTCTCCTGCTGTCTTAACTTTAGCTGGTTTGGTTTTGCGCTCGGGGCACCCCCAGTTCACCCATCTGTGAGTAGGCGAATATCTTTACAGCTAGGGAAGTGAAGGGGGTAAATTGCAGTAACAGCCACACTGCTTTCTTGTGTACCAGAATAGACGGATCACCTCAAGATTCGTCCCCTAACGTTACCTGGACGATATTTGGCAAACCTTTTGAAATATCACATTAAAAATTAGTGTGATTATCAGGAGTAATGATTACTTGCTTCTTTTAAATTACATACGATAAACCTAACAAATATTGGTTGTGCAAGTTGTGTGTGTGTGTGTATTACATACAGTTACTATGGGTGATGTGTATACAGTTTACCGTTCATAGCCTACACCATACAGTACTATACACAGTATGACGGAGGGAAGATTTTGGTGTTTGAATTCTGTAGTTTATAATTTAATTTTATATTACTTAAAAGAATAAACTAACCTAAGGCGTAAGGCATGCACAGTATATCCAGTTCTTAATCTGCATGGGTCAGTGTTAGTACAGGGGGAGGCCAGAGTACCGATACAACTGGTCAACTATTGTAGATATACCTAAAGGAAAGCTTAGAAAAAAACAAACAACAACGACACTCAGCTTGAGTTAAAATGATTGAGTAATAAATAAAACAATTTCTATCACTGTCGATCATTTTGATATACTTTATCACCATCACAACCGACCTTCTGTTGTAAATCACAGTTTCTCAACTTTCTTCTCTAAATGGCGAGAAAATTTCACCCAGCGTTGTATCATTTTAAATTCCCGACTTGTTCCCGGGTATGTATACGGCGAGTGCTGAAGCCTATGTGCGGGCATAGTGTACAGTTCTGTCCTCTATTGTGAAATAAAATAAACCGAGAGAAAGAACCTCACTTAACCTTAATGCTCAAGTGTTGATACATTTTGATATATTTCTTACGTATTTATGATATTTGAAGTTTGATATCAAGATTCTACACAATATAGATATCATGTGCACTTCATAATTGTGTTGATTTTTTTTTACATCTTTACTGTGTGAAAATCAGTTTCATATAAATTTATTAAACTTCAAATTGAATATTAAAGTAAGAAACAGACGCTCAGTATATGATTACTGAACCCTGAAAGCAGTTTAAGACCGCAATTTATTATGAGTCGTAATGTCATAATATTGTCTTCGAATTCAGGACTTAAATAATATTTGCCCTGCTTACAACTGAGGACGGTATAGTTTTCCGTTCTGTCTCTCTCTCTCTTTGTGTATCCCTAAAATATATCTCTTAGGTACAGCAGTATTCTTGTTAAGGGTCGACTCTGACTTGCGTTTATTTATTTTAAATTGTTTACATTTTTATGAGTTATGACGTCACGGAGGCACAGGATTATACAGTACATTCACCTCCCTTTCTCACTACGTTTTTTTTATTTAAGTGTAACGAGCTTAAAATATATTGTGTAACTTTTATTAATTCTTAAAAAAAAGCGCACAGGCGGAAGTAGGTGACACCATAATTTATAATCTAAAGATAGAGACAAAGGTCATCCAAACCAAGGATCGAGAAAATATAAAGTTTTGGAAGGATCGCTGAGCAAAACCCAACGTGATTCAGCAGATATTTTTAGCTTGTTTATGACTCACTAAAAACAACTGTCTCATTTGTCTCTACTATAACTAAAGAGATTCTTGATTTATTTGTTACATTCAATTTTAAACACGTATTTCTCTGACATTCAAGAGTTATTCTACTGTAGGATTAGGCTTTTGGTAAATTTCCTTCGTATCTATCTAATATACTATAGGACCAGGCGTGTGTCTGTCTGTTTGTGTGTGTGTCTGTTCTGGGCAGCCGAAACTGCACAATCGTTTTTCATCAAACTTGGTGGAAAAATCGCAAAAAATTCGTAGAGTGGAACAAACCTGGTCCCATGTCGATGGTTTCTTTAGGAAGGCAGTAATTAACAATTTTATTTACGATGGAAAACGGTGCAAGTCTACGGACTTGGCGCACCCTCATTCGCTGTACGCTGTCACGAGCGTTAAAACTTTCACAAGGGCACGAAGGGCCCGCGATCACTTGTGTTCTACTAATATTCTCTCATTTTCTCACTCAACTGTAACCTCCCTGTTGTGAATGCTTTGAAAACCTTGACAATTATCCATTTAATATACAGTAGTGTCCAAAGCTACTGTTCTCGCCCCCCTTACTCTACTTCTTTGGACAATAATAATAATAATAAAAATAATAATAATAATAATAATAATATTAATAATAAACTTTGAATTCATTAACTAAAATATCGATTCATATCTTATATTTCTTGAATTATGTTCCTTATGTTTCTAACTAACATCACACACACACACACACACACACACACACACACACACACACACACACACACACTGGATGGTCCTAACTGAAGTAATAAGTGTGACAACAAGAACATACAAGTAATTCCCCGGCCATTCCACGTTTACCACAACCGTTAAGCCACATAACACACACACACACACACACACACACACACACGAATATCGCTGTGAAGTTATAATTTGACAGATATAAAACTACAATATACAGTGAAACCTCTATTTAACGGGCTATAAAGAGAGGGAAGTCCATTTATCGAGGGTCTGTTATATGTGAAACCTCCATCTAACGAACTATATAGAGAGGAAAATCCATTATATCGAGGGTCTGTTATATGTGAAACCTTTATTTAACGAACTAAATAGAGAGGAAAATCTATTATATCGAGGGTCTGTTATATGTGAAACCTCTATTTAACGAACTGCATAGAGAGGAAAATCCATTATATTGAGGGTCTATTAATTTTGAAACCCCTCTCTTTAACTGATTATATTGCGAGAAATTCGTTATATGGAAGTTTTACTTGTATATATTTTTGTTTGAGGAGTTGAAGTCAGTTTGTCTCATTGATGTGCTTTCGGTGATGTCAAGTCGAGTCTGTACTGTACTGTACTTCTTGTAGTCGTCTCCGCGCTTCTCTGGGTTGGTTCTCAAAGGTTCTTGTCATTATATTTCTTTCGTAACTGAGGATGAAAAAAATGTGTGTGTAGAAGACGATTTTAGTGCCTATGATCCCCCCCCCCCCAAAAAAAAAAAATCAACGTCACGATAACTGAATTTCCAAACTGTCATCTTAAGTCATCACAATCT